GAAGGGGAGAGTGGCAGGAGGTATGAGAGCACCAGATCATGGAAACTCTTTTAAGTTGTGGTGAAGACTTTGGATTTTGTCCTAAGTGAGATGAAGTGTCACTGGAGGATTTTGAGCGGAGGACTGCCATGATGAGACTTGTTTTAAAAGGAACTCTGTGGCTTCCACGTGGAGAAGAGACTGGTACGGAAAGTGGGAGGCAAAGCTGGAAACAGGGAGACCAACTAGAAGCTTTCGTTGTTGTTAAAGCTAGAGTTTGTTGTAGTTTGGACTACAGTGACAGTGGTTCTATTGGTTCTGATCCTCCGGGAAGCATGTGCCAAGACAGAGTTAGATATTCAAGAGATTTACTCGGGTAACACCTGTGAAAGATAAAGCGGTGAGGGAGCAAAGGTTGGAAGGGGAAGTATCCACACATCAGTTCAGGTCTAACCCCTGTGAAAGAGAAGAGGAGAAGGAGCCAGTGGGGGAAGATGAAGAGCTGCCAGTAAGGTAGGACTTCAGGAAGGGTGACCTTAGCTGTCAGGAGCTGCTTGTGGATCAGGCAAGGTGATACCTGCGGATTGAGCATTGGATTTAACAACGTGGTGATACAGATGACTTTGACAAGAGCAGTTTCAGTGGAGTGGTGAGGGCAAACATCTGAATGGAGAGCATTCAAGAGGCAGGAGAAGAAGCGGAATGAAGTTTTCCTGGGAATGGATGTAGAGAAATAGCAGGATACTCGGAGACAAAGTGGGTTGGTTTTTTTTTTCCAAAATGGGAAATAGTAATACCATATTTTTATGCTGATAGGAATGATCCACCAGAAAGAAAAATTGATGCAGGAGAAGGGAAAATTGTAGTTGTAAAGTTCCTTAAAGGTGAGTGGGATTGATTAGTATGTGGTGATGGGATAGCCATTTGAACAAGTTACTTATACAGCATAGTAATAAGGGAAGAAGGGAGGTAAGTGGGTAGAAATGTAGGGAGGAAAGTGGATTTGGTGGTGAGAACATGTGGAAGTTCTCTTCCTTTTTCTCAGAGACATAAGAAGCAAAGCTATCCCCAAAGAGCAAGGAGCAGCGAGGAAGTGGTAGAGGTTTGAAGACAGAGGGACTGGGATAAACGCAGGCAGCCTAGCTCCCCAGGTGGACTATTGGTCATGACCTACAGTTGCCTTTCACGGAAAACGCTCATGTTATTTCTGTTAAAGGGGGCTCATCATCACTGATACTGCTGTGTTTGCTTCATGTTATACACTACATGGTTTCCATACATTGTCTCAATTGATTCTCATAATAATCCTATGAGATTTGGGTACTGCTACTATTCCTACTTTGCAGTCAAGGAACTGGTGCTTAGAGAGGGTAAGTATCTTGCTTAAGTGGTGGAGTGGGAACTGAAATTTAGATCTCTCTGACCCCAAAGGCAAGTGAGAAAGAGAGAACTCCTATCTTAAGAACTACAGAGCTTCCTGGAGAACCATAGTCTGTTTCCTGCGTTAGATTTGGTACCATTTGCCCTGGTAATTCAATAGCAGCTCCACTAGTTGGTTCCCCTTTCCTACTGTTACTGACAAAGTGATTGTATCAATTTGGGATGCTTTTGGCTACAAGTAGCAGAAAATTCAACCACAGAGGCTTAAACAAAGAGAACTTTTGTTTTTCTCACAGAACAAAATGTCTGGAGGTAAGCAGTTGCAGGCATTGATTCAGCTGCCCAGCAAAGTTGTTAGGGACCCAGGCTTGCTATGTCTTTCCACTCAATTGCTCTCACTGTGTTGGCCTTTGATCTCAAACTTCTCTTGTGATTGTAAGATGGCTGCTGCTACTCTCATCACCTCTGCTTTCAAAGAAGGAAGATGAGGAAAGAGCTATGAGTGAAAGACAAAGGAGTCTGTTTGTCCCTTCTTATCAGAAAAAGAAACTATTTGCAAAAGCATTAACTTCACAAAGGATTAGTATCCAGAATAACCCAAATATATAATATGTATGAATTTTAAAACATCAGACCACTCAGTAGAGAAGTGGTTGTTGACAGGGGAGGAAAGCTAAATAGCCAGTGAACACGCAATCATGCACAACTTCAGGGAAACGGAACACCACAAGAGACCTGACACCTTTCAGACTGACAGATGTTAGAAAGCCTGGCAAAAGGACCTAGATCTGTTAAGAGTGAAAGTGAGGGCATTGTGGGTGGGGGTGCACATTGCTACCACTTCTGGCAAAATATTCTGGGAAATCTAGTTAATGGTGAAATGTTCATAAACTGTGAGCCTGCATATCCCCCATGAGATATAGTTCCTTAGAGCTCCTGCACTTGAGTTTGGGAGGCAGTATAAGCATGGTTTATGATAGCCAAAATATCCATCACAAGGAGAAAAGATAAGATTGTACTGTAATCATACAGCAGAATAAATACTACAGAGAGCTGCATGGAACAAAATGGATGAATATCCCTTATAATGGTGAACAAAAAAAAGCTAGTTGCAGAAGAATACATTGTGTATAATACCATTTATATAAACCCCAAAACATGCAAAACAATTAATACTTTTTTCAGGGATGCATACATATGTAATAGAAAAGAAAATGCACAGAAACGACAAACTCCTGATCAGAATGGTGGTTACCTGAGAGGAAAATATGATCCTTCGAAGCAATTGTTAGCTCTTGGAAGAGTGGCGGAGTCAGGAAGGGATGTAGAGGGTGTGTGTGTCTGGGGTCTTCATCTGGATTGGCCACAATTTATTTCTTGAGGGGAGGGTGCACAGTTGTTTGTCATATTACTCTTTGTATCTTTTTATGTCTGAAATATTCAGTATATCAGGAGAGGATGAAAAAGTAAAAGAAGTTTGAGGATAGAGTTTAGAAAACAGGCCTGTGCCTGTCTCCATTGTATCTATACTAGCAGAGGCACACAGCATATTTTTTACTGCAGTTTCCCAGTTGTTGGCTTTATAAGTGATCATTGGCATCTGTGTCGCCTGCTTTGCACCAGAGAACTCTTTAATCACTCCCTGTCCCCCTACCATTTTTCCCCTATTCCACATGCCCAAAGGAATGTTTTGATTGGAATTATTTGTCTTTCTGACATTTTGCTGCAAACCCTACTGAGTTGAATTAGGTTATGAAATGATAACATATTATGAGTAAATGGTGCCTTAGAGGCCCAAACTACTTGCAGTTGGTCAGAATATGCCTAGTGAGTAAAAAAGGGCCTCCATGCCCTTTCCTTTCATCTCCTGATTATTTAAAACCCCAGACTTCTAAAACCCCAGTCAAGTGACTCTTGACTGGCCTATCCTGTAATCCTCGTCCTGTTTATGCTGCCATTTATGTGATGGGTTTCAGTTCCTAGAGGGCAGGGGTCCTGAGGTTCTGGCAGACCTTGGCTTGCAAGAATCATACTTCCAAGACTAAGCCTGTGGACTGACAGCACACTCCTGAATTTCATCCTCAGCTGCTCACTCTCTAAAGGCCTGGGTGTAGGGCTTGACCTTAGTTTGCCCCCACAGCCCTCTCTGTCCTGTCTCATCTTCAGCCCTAGCACTTCCACTAACCACCCCCTACCCAGGCTCAGGCAGGAACCTTGACTTTAGTCAGAGGGAACATATTGGTTATATAATTGCTATTTGGAGGTACACTGGCAAGTTGGAATTTTTGGAATGGATTTTTTACATAGTTTGGTGCTCAGTAATTTTCCAGAAGGATAGGTAGCTGGGGCCAGGTGGGAGGTTTCCCCAGGTCTGTGAGGATTCACCCCCATTCCTCTTTGCATGAAAACAGTGTTTTCTTCCTGAACCGGGGGCAGTGACAGGCTCCCTGTGGTGGAGCATCCTGAAAGATAAAGCAAAGGATTTTTTACCATGGAAACACCTTAGCCAGGCCCAGGGGCCTCTGGGGGTGGACATGGTGCTTTAACATGCTACTTTCACAGCAGGCTGTAAAAGGAGGTGAGCTCTAGGCTGTTCCCTGGCTGCCAGGCAAGCACAGTGCTAATAAATCCAGTGTTCACTTTGTTCCAGGCTGTTTTGTCTTGGCTGGTCAATTTAGAGAAACCAAAGTAGTTCAACAAGGCATATGGTTGACTAAATAATAGATTAGGAGAGTTATCTCCTGTTAGGACTTATTTTTCGTATGGGAAAATCATATTTAGCGTATTTTTCTCTACCAACAAAACCTGGGTTTTTGGCACAGCAGGAGTGTGGATTCTTGTGGACATAATATAAATAACATGTGGTGGGGATGTTGCAAACAAAACATTCCCAATGCACTGCCCCTCCTCTCAATGAATTCTGCCTACCGTTATATTATTCTTCCTGCCACATTGCCACTTACCACTATCCCTGTTTCTCCTTAAGCTAGGTATCTATGACTTAAATGAATTTAATTTTCCTTCATTTGGGTTAAGATGAAGCAAAATAAATAGCAAACATCAAATAGGTTTTGATTCTTATGCCGTCTCTGATCCATTAAAACTGGTTGCCTGGAGTTCTGGGTTGGTAAGAATTCTGAGGCCAATGTAAGCTCAGCAGGGAAGAGTGCTGATTGATTAGCGATGTCCGTGGTGTGTGCAGGGTTAGGGCTTCGGGCACTCCTATCTAAAGCACTCATAAACATGAAAAATTAAGAGACTTCTTAACACATCTCCAGCTATGAATAGTGGTTATTTGTAGATGGTTAGATTACAGGGGACTTTAATGTTCCTTTGATAATGTTCTATGTTTTCTACATTTTTGACAGTGAACGTGTATTACTTTAATAAGCAGGAAAAAATCACTCAGCATTATTTTGAAAAGGAACATCTTAACTAAATAAAACCAGTGATTTGAAAGTGCTCTGTCAGTGCTTGATTCTGCTGCTGGGCTGTGTAGTTAAAATGTACTTATTAGCAGAGGTCTTACTGCCTTTTCCTTTCCTAAACTCCAAAAAAAATCCTTTGACCCTGGGCCATGGCTCTTAGTGTGAGGTTGAATGTAGGACTGGCTGATTGGTTTCTCATCTTCTAACTGGCAGGTCGAGGTGGTGCATCTATCTATGGCAAGCAATTTGAAGATGAACTTCATCCAGACTTGAAATTCACGGGTATGTATATATTCTGGGTAGACTGGGTAGGAAAAGGGAATGGGTTTAAAAGCTCATTCTTTTGGCTGTGATTCGAGGTGAATGCCTGACACCGTGGCATGGTGCCCTGTAGCTACCCAGCTGTGGCGCCACAAAGAGCCGTGGCAGATGAGAGAAAGCAGCGCCTCTCAAATCCCGAGAGAGTCAGAGTGCTGATCTGAGTGATCTCGACTCTAACTACCTGTTGAGTGCTGCTGCTGTAAACCGTAAGAAAGCAAAAGCTTCCTCAAAGGAACAGAGGAGAACTTCCTGGATTTTTGAGGGGAATTAGGAACATGGTCCAGTGGTTAGTGGGTATCATCATGGATAGAAGCTAAGGAGTAGCTGAAAACAAGGAAGATGAGGCCATCAGGGTAGTGGGGTAGTTAACCTTTGTGCTTCGGCAGAGAGACTGCCCTGAGGGGAAGGTTATCAGGTCAGTGGTTGATGATAGAGGCCAGAACAAAATCTGGCTTCCTTTTATTTCTAGGCTGGTGTAGAGCTCCAGCCTGGGGCTCTGAGTGTTATTTATACTCTTTTCTCTCTTTCTTTTTCCCTCCAGGGGCTGGGATTCTTGCAATGGCCAATGCAGGGCCAGATACCAACGGTAGCCAGTTCTTTGTGACCCTAGCTCCCACCCAGTGGCTTGACGGGAAACACACCATTTTTGGCCGTGTGTGCCAGGGTATAGGAATGGTGAATCGAGTAGGAATGGTGGAAACAAACTCCCAAGACCGCCCCGTGGACGATGTGAAGATCATTAAGGCATACCCTTCTGGGTAGACTTGCTGCTCTCTTGAGCACCCCCAGGTCTTCTGAGATGACCCCAGCGAACCAAATTCCAGATGACCTAGAACGACACGTAACTCTAAACTTCATTTTGGCCTTGCAGATCGTGGCGCTGAGGAGGCCTGGGGTCTTGGGTGAGTTAGAGATGGAAGTGTATTTTAATAGGATACTTCTTTTGTGGTCCCCAGTGCCTGTGTTAACAGAGCATTTGCAGAGATGTCCATTTATGACCCTTCACGGGTTACTGCTCACTGCAAATGACTCATACTGCTCCTTCTTGTGGTATCTGCTCTGTGTACTTGAAACTAAGTGAAGCCAACTCTGTCATTCCATAGTGCCTAATCAACCTCTTCTTGTGGAAATTTATATTCTGGTCTACACTGCAGTGTTTGGTGGCTGACAGCCACAGAATTCGAAACAAGTAGTGTCTATCAGCTGTCTTAACTGTGTGCGCCCCCCGTTTCAGTCTCTTGCATTTATTCTTCCAGGGATTGTATGCATCTCTATATATTTTCCCTCTCAAAACCAGAACAACACTGCTGTTTCTGACACTTAGACATCCCACGCAAAGCCACATTGAATTTTTGCCAAATGAAAAGTGCATCCAACAATCAAGTTTCTAAGAAGGTGTCAAGTGGGGAATGATAATGTGTAATAATCGAGAAAAGAATTTATTAAAAAGAAGCAGAAGCATTGACCATTTTTTTCCCTAGGAAGGAGTAGAAATCTGTAGTGAGCATAAGGACAGACTTATGAATTCTCCTTAAAAAGCAGTATTCTCATAAAGGAGAAGCACCACTTGAATTTTTTAAATCTAAGACTTTAAGGAAACTAGATAAGAGATTTTATATTTTTTTTTAATTTTTCTGATTTTTTAGGGAGGGGGTGGTTAGAGAAAGGCAGTTAATACCTATGTAATATATAGAAAATTCCAAAATAAAATGCCATTGATGGCTGAAATCACTGCTGTGGTCTGATTTTAAATATTTTAGGGGTAATTAGTTTTATTATTTATTTTTAGAGAAGGTATTGGGGATTGAACCCAGGACCTAGTAGCCTTGAGCTGTAGCCTCCCCCTGTTTTTAAATATTGTAGGAGGTTCTGATAGCCACTTTAACCTCTGAACCATCTCAAGTAGTGTTGCAGGGCGCATTTTCAAATTTTCACACCATTTTAGGTTTGTGGGTCTCCAGTGGGCTTCTTCCGTTCAAGAGCAGGTTTGACTTTTAAAAGGCAATATCAATAAATAAATAAATAAATAAAAGGCAGTACCAAAGAAAGAAGTTAAGTGACAATTGATTAACATTTCTCAGTGAGGGGAAAACCGCTGTAGATTAACCAGATGGATGTGCTGAGAGACTGGAACCATTCCCTGAACTTGCAAGAGATATACCTGCATGTCATTATGGGCCCAGAGGCAATATATGTTGTGGTGTTTGCTTTCTTAAATGAGTTATCTCCTTGATTGAAAAGGAGATTGTAGATTAATGTTCCTTCTTACCACTCTACACATTTTGGAAATGGTGATTTACTTTATGGAATGGCCAAACAAGATTCTGTTCTCCAAGCCTTCCTCATGTTCAGCCTCTTTCTCCATTCGTCTCTCTTTTTCCCTAACAACAAAAAAGCAAAACCTAATAACAAACTATGTAAACGATTTGTAACTTCCCAGAGATAGTTTTGAGGTGCCAAGTCCTGGTCTGAGAAGTAGAAATACATTTCCTTCAGCCTGGACTGGGTGGACATAGTTGGATCCCCCTCTAGGAGCAAGGAGTAAGACACCCCTTGACTCACCTCTCAGAATTATAATCCTGAAAATCCCTTTCACCCAGGTCATGGGAATGGTATAAATATATTATTGCTACTTTGAGAAGCAAAGAAGGTTGTGAGCCACACAGGCACAGTTCCTTGTTTCTAGATAAGTACACCAAATGTATGCCAAAGTGATCATACATGCAAGCATATGCCAGTTTTCATAAAGGATGTCACCTCAAAGAGTAAAACTTGAATTGTTTCGCAATTTCTAGTGATTCTGCCAGTTAGCCAGAGATGTAAAAATTCTCGATTCTTTATAAAGGGAGCTTGCATAAAAGGAATCCTGGTGGATCCTTTTGTTATATGAGTGCCCATACTCTCTCAGGGTAAGTACGATTAGGACAAGTCTCATAAAAGTGGGATGTGCTTGGGCACAGATAGCTCATTGCAGTCACAGCTCAAATAGATCAGTGGCTTATACAATGAGTTTGTAACTTACATGGAGATTAATGAAGGTAGGTTGTGGGACCACCAGAGCTAATCAAGGAGTAGGAGAGATACAGTTTTGGTGGGAAGGGTAGGAGAGTCTAGACTTTTTGGAGAAGGCTTGAAGTTGAAAGTAGATAAGCCAATGAAAGAAGCTTTCAAATGAGTGCCCATGGGTTGGGTAAGAAGTTTGGTTCCCAGACTGTAAAGTGCATGGCCCCCAAGTACCCTAGCCCAGGGCTTCTCACACTTTGCCTACATAAGAATCACTGGGGAGCCTGCTAGAAAGCAGAGCCAGATTCAGCATCCAGCCAGAGATTCTGTTTCTAACCAGCTCCCAGAAGAAGGTGACTGCTGGTCCAGACTGTTGGTCATTAACACTGAGTTAGTGAGATCCTAGAGTTCAAGTTTGTCCAACAGGAAATTGGTGGAGGTGGTTCCTAAGAGCACAGAGCAGTCAGGACCATAACCTTTTCTTCTGCCTCCTAGACCAGTCTTGGAAGAGTGAAGGGATTCAAAGCATAGGATGAACTTTATCAGCTTCTGACTTTGACTACTAAGATGAAGCTTTAAGAAACAGTGCCCTTCTGCCTTCCATTCCCACTTTAATACACCATGGACATAAGACCATGTGTGACACAGATCCTATGTGGGCACCAGGGTGCATAAGATGGTATGGTTTAGTAGACATCACATAAATGCAGGGGAGACATCAGCAATTATGATATTGAAGGAAAAGGGCTTTGTAACCAAACTCAGAATTCAGAATCCAGCTTCACTGCTTAGCAGCAGTGTGATGAATTAGTTTTTTAATCTCAGTTCCTTAGTTTCCTCAACTATAAAATGAGGATAACGGTCCTAACCTCATAAGGCTATTGTGAAGATTAAACGAGCTAGAGCAGGTATTTAGATCAGGGATCAGCATTTAGGAAACAGCTGTTGTTATTACCTGTGGCCCTTGAAGCCACCACTTACCTCTCCTGCCTCTTCATCCCAGTGTTTCAGTGGCCTGTCCTTGCACACTTATTCCTCCCACTGGGCTCGCCTCTGAGAGCAAAAGCCCTTGTCTTATTCCCCTCTGGGAGTCCCCTCAGCACCTTATGCAGTTCTTTGAGGGTATTGCTGAATGAATCAAATTTTAAAAATGTTCTCTGTCAGGAAAAGATTGAGATCCATTTGTAGGAATAGCTTTGCCCCAAGTCTCCAAGCCCAGGCTTTAGCTGGTATGGCAGCAAAGCCTTTCCACTAAGCCCTCTGGAAGTCCTCAGCTTAATTTATTTTTGGATTGTGTTTCCAGAATATGTCAAAATAGCTTTCCCTGCACAAGTGAAATGATTCCTACCAATCTGAGCCGTGACTGTGGCCCCTTCTGGCACTACATTCTTGCGACGTGTGGAGGAGGAAACGTTGAAAAGCACATTTGTTTAAGTGACGGGGTTTACTGCCTACAAAGCACTTCATGGCCTTGGAGCCCTGTTGCCTGTAGAGCAGATTACTATTCTTCAGGTAAATATGAGGATAAGGGATCTTCCAGTAACATTTTTTTTCTTAACAGATGAAAGACAAGCAAAGTGCAGGGGAAGAAAACATGTTAGTATCTCATTCTAAGGCCAGCTTGATCTGATTTTGATATTGAGTCCTTGTTCTTCCAAATAGGTAATTCATGATCCCTAACTGCATCTGAAACCACAGATGACCAGTATGGGGCAAAGGTTTGTGGACAGTGAGATGTCAGCTTTTGCGTGGCCTTGGATGAATCCCTTTACCTCTGGAATTCAGCTTCCTCATCAAGCGAAGATCAGAACTAGGTCTCTATTAGCCCTCAATTTCTGAATCTAGGTCATTCTGAGAAAATTCCTTTAGCTGCCAAGTTTCCATTTAGCATGCTGTTTTGGAAATTTGCCACTAGAGGCCACTGTGAATACAGTTTAGTCTTGCAGCTTCTTCAAAAGGCAGAAGCCTACCATGCCTTTCATGATTCTAAACCAGGCTTGCCATCCCTTGGATGTGGAAGGCCAGCAACTGTGGAGACTGCATGGGACCAGAGTTGAGAGATCAGCCTGGCACTGAACAGGTCTAGGAAGGCACTCTTTTGGCACAGGCCTGCCAGCCCTCTTTCTTGCTTCCTTGACTAGATGGAGAAGCCCTCTGTATGGCAGGGTTGGGTGAGGCCCTATGACTGGGGCCCGATTCCCTCTTAGCCACTTAATGTTCCACTTTTCAGTTGAATTTATTCATTCAGCAAGTAATTTTGGAGCCCCTCTTCTGGGCCCAGCAGTAGCAAATGTTTTTGTAGAATCAGAGTCAACCAGAAGGAACCTTAGAAGAAAACAAAAAGCTATTGTTGCTCTTTCTTTGTTCTGTGGTTTGTGGAAACTTCTTTTATGTATTTTTCTCTTAATCCCCAAAACCATCCTCTGAGATTGGCATTATGATCCCCACTTGCACACAAGAAGACTGAGGACCAAAGGCACGTAGTACAAAACTGTATACAGGGGGAATGAATGGATGGAGTAAAGGGCCCAGGGTTGCATGGTTAGTAAAAGGCAGGGCTAGGGCATGAACTTAGGAACTTCTGATCCCAAGGTCAGCCCTTTTATCTCCACCTTTGATACACAGAGAAGGAGGATGAGGTGCAGAAAAAGAGTGATCTGGTTGCAGGACAGGAGCTAGGACCTGAATCTCCTACCTTGCAGGCTGGGCTGTCCAATCTGACCGCTCCATCTGCATCCCCAGGCCCCAGCCTTAGCTGTCTCCAAGTTCCTTCCAAGCCGAGCCTGCATCAGGCCCATCAAGGCACAGCAGGAAGGAGAGGAGGGAGGGATGGAGCACAAATGACCCTAATCAGTGTGTTTATTGGATCATAACTGTTAGCCCCACCACTCAGCTAATCTCATAGAAATCACTTTCCTTTCTGTGAGGATCTGGCCACAGCTCCATTAAAAACTGCTGACCTGCATACATGTGAGAAAGCTCTTATACAGCTGAGGTGGTAGAGAAGGAGGGAGAAGCAGTATTTTTACTTCCTCATTACGCTGATGGGGAAAATGGCCATTTCACATTCACTGTATATGGGAAGCCCCCAAAGGAAAGGGAATCCAAGTTTCACAGCTCTTTTTGGCAGCATTTAGCTCTAAGAGAAAATGTTCCCTTTGGCCTTCCCTTTTTGAAAGCATTTGTGATATTGTTTAAGACAAAATAAGAGAAGGGAAGGAACTCATGTTTGGGAAACATACCACATGCCAGGTTCTTCACACATTATTCTATTCAGTCCTCTCTGAAAGCCTGTGAATAAGACATAATGTCTGTTTCATAGATGAATCCATTTCATGGATGAAGACTCCACAGCAGTTGTCTGGGCCTTAGCAGGACTGAACTTCAAGCTTAGGGTCTGCTCTCTCCTTCCATCATACCCTAAAGTCCCACAGGAATGGTTTCTTTACCATTCTTTGCTCCCTCCCTCCAACTCAAAAAATCTGGAAGCTGGTTTTCAAGCCATGTCGTTGAGACCTTGGCAACTTCCCCAAGCCTTAGTTTTTCCATCTGTAGAATGAGAAGCCCAGAATTGGTTTCTAACCCCTCTCTGGTCTAAATTTGGGCATTTTTATGATGGCATTTTTTTTTCCCCAGGTAGCTCCCAGTACATCCTCGTCTAATTGGAATCTCACACCAACTTGGAGGGGATGGGGGTATGGGTATTATTACTCCCATTTTTTAAGCTG